ACTGTGCTCCTGTATGCTTTTAATAAAAATTTTGGTTTTAGTATTTGTCATGTTTATTAGTTCATTCTGTCGGACCGTGCTTATACTAATTTAATTATAAGACAGCTTCCTTTGAAAAACAGATTAGGTGTTAAACAAGTGTCCCAGCAATAGGTAGGTACACAGCAAAGGTAATCAGTAGTTCAATTTGGAAATTAAGTCTTGTTATTTTTCTTATAAAGAAAATAATACATATGACCACTTTGGTATCTTGGGTAAATGGTAATTTATTTGTGGAGGATACCTTTACAAAAAGTAATTGCTCCAATAAGCACTAATGAGCAGTGTGTTTATCTTAAAAGTTGCGTGAACAGTTCCTGAGGGTACTAGGGCCAGATTAAGGTCTAAGGGTTAATCTAAAACACAATGCTTTAAGACCTGGTTCCTGGTGTCAGGAGGAGTTCTTCAGTATTTATTGAACATTCTTTCAGGTTTTCATCCCATTTCTTTGGCATTTTATTGCTTGCTGATACAATTTATCCAGGGTTCAATAATCAAATCAAAGATTGGGTGAAGCATTCCGACTTTAAGCAATATGTCTTTAGGGAATATGTTTTCTAACACATTTGGCCGTACTAGACCCACAAACCTCAAATCCCAGTTATTAAGCTTATAGTTGTACTGAAACGTTTTCAGATGGCATCATTCAATTGTAAGAAATTACTGTGTTTTCCTAGAAGAACAAAACCAATCAAATGATAGCACTTCTGACTGTGCACACTAGTTTAACAGGTAATCCTTCTAAGTAATTAAATTGCTGTCACAACTGCTGTTTCTCCCACCACTGTTGGTATGTATTTGTAGTGGAAAAAGGAGATGGGGCATAAAGTCTAAAACACTCGGCCTTAATATGTTGGTTGCACTTTTGGTATTTGGTAGAGATGCAGTGGACTTAACGTGACCCTGAGCTAGCTCTCGTGAACTATTTACTTGGCTGTACTTGATGTGTTCTGCCTCCCCTTTTCATATGCTTTGATATCATCGCTGACCTTTCGGTACCTTCTCCCTCCTTGCTTTTCTTCCTTTTGATACTTTCTTGTGGTGTTACTCCATTTTCGTGTCTTTAAACTTGTTATTTCTCCTCACTACTAACATTAAGCAGTGATGTGTCATGCAGCTGAAGTGAGCAGCATCTTCAGAGGAAGAGTTGAATCCCAGGGAAGTGGTGGAATTGCCATCCCTGGAGGTATTTAAAAGATGGGTAGATGTGGTGCTGAGGGACATGTTTTAGTGGTGGTTTTGGCGTTGTTAGGATGATGGTTTGACTCCATTATCTTCCTTTCCAACCTAGACAATTCTATGATTCTAATCTTTTTCCAGTCCCCTGGTTCAGTCTCCAGATACTTGTCCTTGTCCTTTAAAAGGTCCAGTCTGAAAATTCTTGACCACAACAGTTTATATGGGTAGTTCCTTAAATATCCTGGTACTATCTCCAAGAGTAAATGACCCAGGGAAGAAGAAGATACTGTGCTGGTAGGGCATTGGTTTTTACCTCCCTTTCCTTCATGGTATATAATGACAAGTCACCTTTTCACACAGTTCTGTACGTGTCCATGAGTAATTTGGAGCCTTGTGTATGAGGGGATCCTGGGACAAACTTTAAAGTCAGGTGAACATATGTACTGAGCTCAAATGTTCAGTCACCTGTTGTGACCCGGGTAGTTGGAAGCTCGAATGCACAAGCATTCCCTCGTGAGATTAGGGAAGTACAAAGGCATGCAGAAATTATATGCACAAATATGAGGGTACTGTTGGAAAATCTGGCCTCCAAGTATCTTTTTGAATCATCCAGGAAAATGGAGTCTTTGATTTTTGGAGACTTCTTAATAAAAGGCTAAATTTTATGACTCTCCAGTCTACAGTCTGCTCATATAACTGATATGATTTTTTTTTTTTAAGAATTTCCCTTACATACACAGCAGAAAAACAAACAAGCACAATTCCCCGTTATTTCCCTGAAAAGCAAAGTCCTCTTTCCTAGCAAGATTAACTTGTCAACTAATCTTAGAGCAAACACTTTATTTTAATCTATCATTGTTTTCTGGCTGTGGGTTTAGTAGAGGTCAGAAAAAGAGGTTCGTTAAAGTGATGGTGCATTTGTTTTCCAAAAGCACATCAGAAGATTAATGCTTTGCCAAAGAAAATAACGAAATACAGTATTTCTTTTAATAAACTTCAGCTAAATAAAGTCTTAAATTCACATGCTTTGGCGCAGATGGGGTGTTTGCAGCATAAGGTACAAGTCGTATAATTTCTACTATCTGAAAGCTGCTGAAATGAGCTCTGCTTCAGCCACGCCGTTCATCCCACACCTGAGGTGAAGTAACTGTGGTCCCTTCTCTGATGTAGAGCCATTGGTGAGCTGCCTGCCAGTGTGTTTGTGCAAGTCTGTTTGCTTTTATAAAGAACCCGTTTAAGCTTCTCCACCCAAGAAATTCATGTTGCTTTTGGATAATCCCTGGGTGATTTTATGCTGTAAAATAAATAAATAAATCTTCCAAACCTGTGACGCAGCCCGGCTCTCACGTATTTTGGACTATTGGAAGTGTAGCATTTGTGTGGGGGAAACATGAACTGACAGAAAGCATAAGCAATTTTCTATTTGTCCAGAAGTAAGATAAGATGTATGTTTCAGTATAGGGTTACGTGACGTTGGAGTTTCACCTGATGAGAGCTCAGGGTCAGTCAGTGATGAGGAGACATTTGCGTGTGGATGGCCAGACTCCACGCTGCACGCTCATCCTCCAGTGTGGCTTCTCTAGGAGTGGTGCCAACCTGACTTGGTTTGGCAGCAAACCAGTATTCCAGAAAAGAAGGAAAAGTTGTATTAAACAGCTGAATCAATTCTCTGGGGTCGGCATTGGCCGTCAGGGCTCGCTCTCAGTCGAAGACAGGTTGTGTGTGTATGTAACATCGACCAGCAGATGTGGGAGTCTGAGCATCCTTGCTCTGAGTGGTGCTGAGCAGGGCTGCGCGGAGGATGCTTTGCCCCAGGGCAGTAGAACAACTCTCTGTGGTCATCATCAGTCACAGGTAACCCATCTGATTCAAAATCACTTCTGCAAGCTCTGCTCCCCCCTGCTCCCTTAAGGAAACATTAGTGCACAGGCTTGAGATGAGTTTGCTCAAGTCCTAAACTCAAGTGTGGGCAAATTGCGAGGGGGAAAAAGCCCTTATTTGCACCCTACTCTTAATCCCTCCCAGTAGCCCTCCTCAGGGTTCTTGCTTTGGCAACAAAACTGGTTCTAAATAGGCACATCTCTGCTGAACTCAGTAATAGCTATGAATATGTTACCCTGAATCGCTATGCAGCTATGCATTAGTAACTAAATATTACATTAGATATCTAATGTCTTAGTAACTGAAATAATTAACTTTATCTAACATAGTTATTGACCTTAACTTGGAAAATGTTGAGACTGGAATAGATTGTCTTTGCTGCATTGCTTATTAATTGCATTACAGCGATGTTCAGCATCTCTTGTAGCAGGTCGTGAATTCATGTAGTGAAAAGCAGCCACTAACCTCATGAGATTGAACAATACAAATAAAAATTTATTTTGGTTTGTGCTTGGTTTCTGGGGTCTTTTGAGCCATAAGAAGTTCTCTAGAAAATGTATCCACTCTCTTTTCCCCTGCTCTAACCTGGAAATAAGCTGCAAGTCTTGTAAAATCACTTATTTTCAAGAATTAAAGCTATGAATGGAATGTCAAACATTAAAAAGACATGCTGATAAATCACTGGAAATGGTAGTGTCTGAGTAAAACGTTATAGAAATGATAGCAAATATTTAAAAGGGAAAATTGACCTGCTCAACCCAACACATGGTAATGTACATATATTCAACATAGCATACTCTTTCACTTGTGGCTCTGTCCAGTGGGCCATCATATTTCTAGTATTATGGGTTTAAACTGGAATATGAAATTGAGCCCTGAGATAATGGCATGGATTTGAGAGATTAAGTGATATTAGTACCAGTAAATCTCTTTTAGATAAACTATAGGCATACGTTCCTTCATGCTTTCTGCCTCTTTTCTTTCTTTTTTTTTTTTTTTAGTATTGCTTACAACAACACAGTTTTTAGTTTAGTGGGTAGAAAACTTTTGTAGCAGATGAGAGAGATGTGAACCCCTTGAGATTGGGGAACTTGAGAGCCATGTCACCCATCCAGTTAAAGATGCCCAAATTGCTGTAAATTCTTACAGGCAGCAGATAATCCTTTTCTTGTTGACTGGCCAGGAAGCGAGTAATGAAGTCCTCGTCCTAAGTGATTGCCCAAGTGCATTTAGGAGGTCCCTGGCAAAACAGGAACGAAATTGCACAAGAACTTAGAACCACGAAGCTCTAACTTGATCTTCCTCTTTGTGATTGGATCGACAATGATAAGAAGCTGCATAAATAGGGGTAGTTTATGTTAAAGTGCCAGTGCTCCATGGTGACACAAATGCATTTCATATTTTTCTTTATTCCATGGGACTTTTTTCTACATCTGTGTTTTAAGGCAGGAGATTTTGAATATCTGAATATGATAACATATATGGTAGTTTGTTTTGAGTGATAGGACTCTTATTCCTGGGCAGTATCTCTTTTGTACATCTTGACCTCTCAGTATAAAGTTGGATTGATTTAAGGTGATCCAGTGCCTTGAGTTTGGTCTTGTTCTGAATGAAGGGGATAACAGCACCAGATGATACGCCATGAAGCTCTGTGTGTTTCTGTATCCTTCCCTGGTTCCCCAGCTACACATAAGGCTTCACATCCTGTAAATGTGACCCCTCGGTCTATATTTACCAGTGGTGGTAATTGAAAATTAATTTTTTAAGTTTGGTGAGGGTTTTTTAATTATCAAGTTTATTTATTTCAGAGTCTTCCAAAGAAGTGGAGGTAAAGAAAAAAAAAAGAGGTACTTGAAATTTCTATCATTAAAACAAAGAACTTTCTTTCTTTTATGTTTCAGACACAGATATAAAGGAGCTAGAGGATGTTTTTGGACTTAACGGACAAGTAGAGCATAAGCTGAACTTCCTCAAAAAGAATGTATCAAAAGATATAAAGCTGGTACTGATTGCTCATTCTATTGGTTGCTACATCACACTGGAGATGATGAAGCGAGCATCAGAACTTCAGGTACATGAACCTTGTAGAATGGGATATTAGCAAAGCAGTGCACATGCTCAGCCTATGGGTAATGCCATGTCTTTCCTGTGGAAGCCCTATTCTGCTATACACAAACTTTAAATTAAAATGAAATAAAAACATTAATGACTAATCCTAATAACATATAATGAAGTAGTTTGATGTAAAATTAAGTTCTAAATCTGAATTTGGCCCTTCAAATGCCCTTGTAATATAAATAATAATGGTGGTGAATATATTTAGGACTTTCTTGTTGTCTTCTAATCTTTAAATAATTTATGAACAGATCACTAGATATTTGGCAATTACATTATGTTACTACACTAAAAATTAAGACTGGCTATGATTTTAATAGCAGTTTCTTATCTCAAGGCAAGCAGATTGCTGGCTATACATGGAGAAATGTATGGAAAAGAATAGTAATATAAATTGTAATGAGTACTACTATGAAGGACGTTGGTTTAAAAATTAATAAATATGCATGTATCGTTGCTTCTGCAACTCAGTCTTGGTTTGTGTAACTCCAGAATGGGAGGTGTTTCTGCATGTTCTTGTCTATCTGAACATTTGTCTTTGTCGCTGTGAAGCAATAAGGCAGCTGAGGCAGGACCATGTCCTTGCCATGTGTCTGGAAATGGCAAACTCTTAGTGCTCAGTAATAACTCACTTTGCTAGTGGATGATGAATGAAGAATATTGAAGTTTTATTCTTAAACATTTTCACTCTCGCTAAATCATTGCTGCTTCCTTTACATTATAAAATCTTCAGCGGAAGGAAGTGCAGTGTTAGCGTGAAGTCTGTGTTTAATGTACGTATGAGTAGGTTCTTCCACTTCTTCATAACCATTTCCACTGCACATCTATTTTTTTTTTCCTTTAAAGGAAACAGCAACTAAAAACATGAAACATGAGGTTAACCTGATATAATTCCACAGGCATATTTTACTTTGTGATTGTAAACAAGGGCATTTTTTTTGAGAGAACTTTTATTGCTGTTTTATCTATTCAAGAGGGAGTGTTCTAGAAAATATCATATGCAGTAATTTGTCCAAAAATATCAACGTTTCTTTGGTCAACATCTGTACAGTCTTTATCACACAAATGATTTTATCCGGCTTCAATTAAACTATGAATTGTTGAGTAATTTTTTTCCACCTGGCTCACTGGATGCTGGCAGCTTGCTATGCATCAGTGTTTTGAAACGTAGGTATCTCTGGGACACTCTCAGGCTGCATGGTGCACTGTGTGCATGAAGTTAATATATGACAAGCTACATTTAAGATGCTTTTAACAATAGAAAATATTTGTGTAAGCCAGAGTGTTGTGCAACCTTTGTCCCTTTGCCAAAAATAAGTAAACTGTTAGGTTTTATAACATATGAAGTGTGATAATAAGAAACTTGTGTTTCCATCTCTCCCTTTATTTTTACTGGAATATTTGATTCCCACAAGATTTGGAGCACATATGTGTATTTTAGTAGCTAGATCATTTGATTTTATTTTTGTGTAATTCTTATATGATATTCTTTTATTACATGAGTTTTGGTTTTGGTCTTAAATTTTCTGCTTTAAGAGCCTTTGATTGCTTACAGTTTATTATTTCGAGCTAGAGGTTAATGCATTGTATTTATTGTTCAAATAATTCAGTAAATGTTTATATTTGGAGTGGGTGTTTAGCAGATTTGATTTTCATTACCCAATTTAAAGCCCTTTCAAAATCTAACCAAATACAGACTCAATTGTCTCTCTCATACAATGATGAGGGAACCTGATGAACTTGAGATGTCATAGGTGAGAAGGAGAAAGTACTATCTCCATGTCTCTCCTTCTTGGGTGCTCTTCAGCTGTTGGTTTTGAATGCTGCTAATTTCTTGGTTCCCTTGTGCTCTGCAGGTTAATAGGGTAAATAGGGTACTTTGTTGTGGGGGGCTTTTTTCTTAAACTTCTGTGAAATAATGCTTTCTTATTCCATTAAAAGAGAAATTCAAGAGGAATTGCCAGTTTACCCCAGGATAAATTCGGGTTTGGACCCCATCTCTATTTTCCTGTTGACTCTCAGGGAGGCTTCTGTTAACTATTTCTGTGGGAGACCTCTTAACGCAGCCGTAGTCACAGGTTGATGCCTTTAACTAAGTCTAATTGGCAGAGAAGGGCCACAGGGGTTGCTTCCACGCTTGGGGCTGCTGCATGGATTTGAGTACCGGGACAGCTGTGCAGTGACATTTTTGGACTAGTCCCTAGGAGACTTTTTGACCCAAAGCAGCCAACAACTCCCAGGCAACACCCTGGCATGGTTCTGGACTTGGCAGAGGCCCAGGACCATTCCCAGTAGTTAGTTTGGATGCAGACATCCTGATTTTAGGCAAGGGGAAATTCCGCCGTGCGGACACGGACCATCCCATGCCATCCTGTTCCATGGCAGGACCAGGGAATAGATCCTGCCCGGTCTGTTGACTGGCACACATGTAACCATGAACACTTCTCAGTTGTCGTGGTGGGCATCAGATCTTAAAAAGATTCACCTCTTTGTGGGAAGTGAAGCATCCAGAGTTTGCCAGTCTGCTAAAAAATTAGACGCTAGGAAGGAAAAATATTCATCAGCCTTATTCTGTGGAGATGGAAAAATGCAATAACGTACAGCTTACTTGATAATTGCTCTTAACCTCATAATCTTCTTCGCTCTTTGTTCAGCCAGCAGAACTGAAAAATGAAGCTGAGTGACAAAGTGATTTTCTCAGTTGTTGGAGCTTGAGCCTAACTCATAAATATGCTACATCCTCCAGGCATTCTCTTTAAAAATACAAATCCTGACTTGGAGGATTTCCTTGTGCTTTGCTGGCAGCGCTACTGAGTGTTTCCTAAAACACTCCCTTTGATCATTAATTTTATCAAAAGATTGACACATTTCCTTGCTAATGAAATTCAATCTGTTACAGCATTAGTCTTTCATTTGCAGTGATGGTTTTGAAATACCAACACCTTTGTGGTAATAAATTAACACCTGTTAATGAGCGAAATTGTCATACAATGTGAGTATTGCTCTTCCTGTCAAACTCATTGAGGAGGAAGAGTTTAAAACCTCTGTGTATGTATCAGTTTAAGCAAATAAAATTGCTGTAATTTATAATTCAAACCCATGCATTGCTGATATGTCTCAGTGGTGCCAAAGAATATTGGATATTCCTAGAACTTGCTCAATTTAATAAATAATAGCTAATAAAACATAAGTTGGAATAGTTGTGTATAAAATCAAGTTCATAGCTTGGAAATCCCATCACATCATTCTTGTGCACACGATGGTGTACATCTGCCATATATTTCCTTCACTGTGCTCTCTTCTAAACAGAAATCTTTTGGTCTGAAATTTCTTTCCAGAAATGTGATGAACGTAACAAAATGACCTAGTTCGCATTTAATAATTCCACATATTTATACAGTAGCATAACCATATTTTCATATTTTTTCTTTTGTCTGTATATGAGTTGCATTCCAGTCTTTCACTTGAGGAGCTACAACTTGTTCAGGATCTGGTACTGTATGTAGCTTAGAAGGTGTCTGCAATGTATCTTGTTCTTCAGAAATTGGTACTGGCTTTGACCCATCAGGAGGCTGTCCCCTAAACAAGCTCTATTGAGTTAAGAAAACATTTCTTCATTACTGACCATTCTAAATTATTTTATGGTTTATAAAATGTTGGTGCTATTCATACCCTTTTATACATAAATTAAACATGCCTAACAGGAGGTACCAGGCATTTTTTTTAACCTTTTGAGTTACTGAAATTGGTTATATATCCCTGCTGATGGTTTTCTGACTGTTTAGCCCATTTCTAAGCCATATAAAAATGTTTCTCTCATCCGTTACTAGTCACAGGGATTGAATGACCTCAATGGGAAGCATTTTGTTGGAGCTTTTTGAATATAGTTATTTTGGATGATGCTCCTATATATGTGCATGATAGCTGTATTTCTTTCTCCTTTTTTTGAATTTTTAAAAAATATTTAGTTAAAAAAGCAGAAAAGCTTTCACTTACACACAATATTGTTGTTACTTCTGATGTTAGAAAAAGCCAAAATAAACCATTTTATCATTCTTTTTTAAATTTAGCTGATAATAGATTATTCTTCCGTTCGGCCACTCCAAAGTTTCTGTTGTTGCCGTGTTAGTAATGAGGGGGTTTATTACCCTTGGTGTTCCCCTCGATCACACACACCTTTGGCGTGACATATGTAGCCCTCATTTTGTGGTTTCATACTTGAACCAAAAGGCCATGCTCCATCTGCTGTGAACAGCTTGCTTGGAAACACGCATGGCCTGCAGGTACGCAACAGAATGACAGATGTCATGACTCTGTTAGCTTTTTGTTCCCCTATTGTCTGGAAAACTGCTTCTTCCTGATTACCTGCAGCCCTTTGCAACACATCTTAGGGGGACAAGACGTCTCTGCACGTGGCCCTTCCAACAAAGACATTGATTGGGATTTGAAATTTCAAAAACGCTCTTTTCTTTGCAATCTCTTGGCCAGAGGGGTGTTTATTTTCAGTGTGTGTGAGAAGTTACCTGTATGTATAGAAGTAGTTTGTTTTAAAAGAAGCTTTACCAAAACAGTAAAAATGACAATAGGTAGTTTGCGTTGCAGTGCCTCTTTGCAACATAAAATGCAGTAAATAATTATTTGTTTACAGAAGAATAACAATGTGTGAATGTCTATCCATAGATACTATTTTGCAGTGAGACAGAATATGAAATTTAAAGCAAACTAGCTATTCCTGGGTAAGTCATGTAAAGCATTTTGATCCTAACCCAGATGTCTTTTTCTGATATAGCTTAATCTGTTTTCAAAATAACTTAAGATGATGGTTTTGAATGTATTCTAAATTCATTCTGGACAAGAGTGTTCACACATGAAGTTACTCGGGAATATTTCTATGTTTAGATATTCTTTATTCAGGCTTGAATTTATCAAGGCTGTTGTCATCATCAATTCTGTAAG